AAAACTCCTTTTTGCAAGAACAAACATATAGTACTAAAACAAATGGAAGCTTATAGATAGAAAATACTCTACAACATAGTTTTTTTCCTCATGTTTTCCTAGAAAAGGAAAAAGTCAAAATCCACTTCAATACTTGTGGTACACTGACAAACACACACACATATTTATAGACACACATGTATACCACTGAATGATTTGGATTTGGTTAAGTTCTGAGAGTATTTTGAGGATCTGATTTTACCTAAGCATAGTGTTTTTAAAATGATGTCTTGTAATTCATACAATGTCTTATATAGTTCGGTTTTAAGAGAAGTTGGAGTGTGAGGTGGGTAAAAATTCAATTATGATTTCACATTTTAAAAACCTATAAATGTCTATATTTCAGATATGGCAAGTTGGTGAGGTTTTTGAAATGTTTTTATTCACCTTCCTTTAGTTCTGTTAAAGTTTGTGCTAAAAACACATATTTGCTTATCTCTGTTTTTCTGGGATGAAGTAATCTTACATAATAATAGAGATCCAAGAATGTAAAATATTTCTCCAGTTGGTAGGAGCAAGTGGTTATGTACAATAATGATCATTAAGTAGAGTGATTTTGTATGATTAAAACTTTCCCCTCTTATTTTAATAGCCAAAAAATAAACTTTGGGACATACGATAATTACATTCCAGGTAAGAAAGAGCTCAAATTTTTAACATGTATGATTAATTTTAGGGATAAGTGATTAGTATTTCCAAAGTCATAAAACAATAGTTATCATGAAATATTATTAAAAATCAGCTCTTAATTTCCCTAGACACATTTCTCATGGGCTCAGGGAAAACCTTCCAAAGATATTTTGTTTTTAAATCCAAAGATTAAGCGAATATGTTCCACAACATAAAGGTGGACATATTTACATGTTAGAAATACAATCGGATCATCTTAGAGTTGAAAGGCAGTGTAAAAAAAATGGATAAATAACTTCTCACTTGTGTCAGAAATGTCTTGTACTACATTCCTGACAGTCTGTATTGGGCTTATAACTGGCAAAAAAATTCATTACTTCATCAAGGCCCATCCATCTAATGTTGAAGGACTTCATATGTCAAGTAATTCGTTTTCCTTCATATACTGAACTTAAATATGCCTTTCTTTCTGCAAATTTTTTCACTGACCCTGATTCTATCTTTAGAGAATCATAGGCCAAGTTTATTTTCTCTTGTATACATACAGCATTTTTGTACATATTTAAATTCAGAAAGAAAAATGCATGACATCATTTATATGATGAATCTAAAAAATAATAACAATAAGGACACAAATGAACTAATTATTATTTTGATTTCTTGAATATGTATAAACACATTTGACTGTCCTTTATGGTTGGATTACAGCATCTGTTGATTCTTATTTT